TACAATAACTGATATCACTGGCTATGGAGGGTTTGCAAACATTGTGTCAGCATTCCAGAAATACAAGTCACCTCTTTTGCATAACTTAAGATGACTGGTGCAAATGATTTATTCCGGTTACTCAGCATGAATCACCTTGGCACTTTCTTTAACAAAAATGGTATGAAAACTTTTTTTTGCCAGTCATGTATTTTCCTCATAGATGACGTAAGAAAAAGGGTAGATAGGGCTATTTAACACTATTAAATTTCTCACTTGGCCATTCATGTGATTGTGATAATATGTTTTATGTGGCTGTACACCACCTTACTCCTTTATAATAGTGCAGTATATAAATAGCTTTTTGAAATAAATAAATAAATAAAATAAATAACTAATAAATAGATAGATAGATATAGATGATATAGATACAGATATAGATGATATAGATGATATAGAGATATATAGATATAGATATAGATATAGATATAGATATAGATATAGATATAGATATAGATATAGATATAGATATAGATATAGATATATAGATGAGAGTTTTACGTGTTGTGAACCAGCAGCCATTTCTACAAGAACAGATCAGTGCAAGAGCACATGGCATGTCCAAATAAATAAATAAATGATATTTGGTTGGACTTTTGTACAAGGATCAACTGCTCTTCAGATTGGACACCTACAGGTGTAAGGTAATCCTGTTTCTAGGTTCTTGCCTGGATTCTGGGAACGCCATACATTGCCTCAACCCACGGCTGGATAAGCCATTGATAGCACTGTAGGTTCCTGGGCTGATTATTTTTGGATCTCAATATGGTTTTGTCTTTCAACAGGAGTGAATGTCCTTCTTCTCTGTGAAAAGTTATTGCCATGCAGAAAATGTCAGCTGTAGGCTGTGTCCAGTGGTGGGTACAGCAAGAGGCAAATGCAAACAGAGATTGCAGAACACACACTCTCTAGTCTCATTTTTCTTGCTCTCCGCCACCCCATCTCTCTCCTCCTTTCTTTCTGCTTTCCTCCTCCTCCTCCTCTCCATCTATTTCACTACCACCCACTGCAGCCAACTCCAGGGCGCCCTGGATGCCTGGGCAACCACAAAAATTTCACTGTTGGTGCCCATCCACCACCACCTGCTGCCTTACCTCTGACTCTCCAGCAGTGGCTGGGCCGGGGTCTACTTCTCCACCACAGGGCCTCTGTTTGGGCCCACAGGGAGCAGCAGTGTCAGGTGGAGGCTGAGCAGCACACGTGAGACATGACGTGACGTCGTGATGTTATGTCTCGCACGCCACTGGGCACCCACAGTCTGGGGCCCAAGTTGGCCCCTCTGCTACCACCCCATTTGCCCCTCCATTAATGCAGGTATGAGCTGATTGTTTGCAGAGGGCCACATTAAATTAACCAAAGGCCACATGCAACCCTTAGCCCACAGATTCCTATCCCAGCCTTAATGCTGGTCAGTGTCTGGAAACTGACAAAATAATGTTGATATTTCTTAATAGCTCAGCAAAACCAACATAGAGTTGGTTGGCAGCTAAAGATTAACAGATTTACTGTAGCATAGGCTTCTGTGGACAAAAGTCCAGTAGATGATCTGATAATATAAATCCATGCCACTTCCTTTCATACTAAATCTAAGGCCCAGCTGCCTGAGAGTTTGCACCTAACTGAGGCGTCCTTCTTCCACATTCCCTGGCATCAAATGAGAACAGCCCTCAGCTGCCATCACCTAGTTTCGGGCAGGGGATGTAGAGGTCATCCCATCCCTTATGCCGTAATGTGGCATTATCACCAATTACTTTACCTTTCACGAGTCACTTCACATATTTTTGCATACATTTAAGCTCTAATGTCTAATTAAATTGACACAGACTGTACGTTCTGCATTTCATTGCCATTTAAGCCAACCTTACGTTCCCCTTTATATTCATGTGTTTAGATAACTCTAGTGGGTTTTACACAGTGCTGCTGTAATCAATGTGTTGGTCTTTTAAGGTGCTACAAAACTCTTGTTGCTTTTTATGCAACAAACTAACATGGGTGCCAATCTTAGAAAATGTATATATTTCTGAGCAGTGCTGTGTGTGTGTGTGTGTGTGTGTGTGTGTGTGTGTGTTGAGGTACTCTCGTTTTGACTCAAGAAAATCACCGAGAAAGGAAATGAAGCCACCACCGGAGGTGGTAACAACAAAACTGGCCAATCACCGTTCTAGATTCCAACTCCTACTTCACACATTAAACGCCCGCTTCCGTCTGAGACTCAGGAAACACCATGACAGGAAATGAGGCCGCCATCAGGGGTAGCAACGGAATTGACGATTCACTGTGCTATTTAACGGAACTGACGATTCACCATGCTAGAGAAAAACTATTTTTTAAATTTTAAAAAAAGTTTCTTCTTCTGTTAGATTCACAAAATGTTTAGGGGTATGTGTACCCCTGTGTCCCCCCAGAAAAAAACACTGTTTCTGAGAGTAGATGGCCCTTGTTGTTGTTGGCATTCACAAGGCTGGGTTCAAGTAGTAGAAGCTGTAGCAGGAGCTGCTGCAGTGAATCCTGTTAATGTGGTGAAGATTTGCCCCCTCACCTCCCCCCATGCCCCCCAAATAGCTCTGAGGGGTTGGGAGAGCCCCCAGAGCAGCATGTGGGGTGAGGAAAGGTGAGCTCATTCCAGCTTGGCAGGGGGTTGGACTAGATGACGCTTACGGTCTCTTCCAACTCTGCAATTATATAATCTGGCAAGCAGAAATGGTTGCACTAAGGGAATTATTGCATTAGTGTTACGTTGAAATCCATCCATTATATCTATTGTCTTGTTTGGTGAATAGCTCCAAGATCAAGTGCTTCCCAGTAGTATGTTTGTGTACATGCTGTTCATTAGTGTCTAGCTTTGTAGGCTTTCTCTCTGATGAATAATCTCTGAATAAAAGAAATTACCTCATTCATCCCTTTAATTTAGCAGTTGGAGTTTCTTCATGCTGTATTGATTAAAACAAAGGCATGCATTAGAATGATTCAAGAAAAGAGTTACAAATAAAAGTGGAAGGTATTCCACTGATAGATTCTTTAAAAAGCAATAGAAAATGATTAGGATGAGTCAGAAATAATCTAATTTCTACTGTAGGGTGGAAATAACATTCTTCAAAGGACATTTATTGTTCTCTTCAAAAAGTATCTATGCTTGAAAGGATTGCAAAACTGTATATTTAAAAACTTGGACAAGATTTAAAAATGCATATATTTTCCTAATCCCAATATTATAGTGCTGTTTTTTTCTGCCAGCTATACAACAGTAGTGATTTTCATATATTTCTTACATCTTTTCTAAACGTATTGTTGCTTGGTGAGAGACACCAGAGGTTTCAGCATTTACCCAGCGTTCAGTTTCCTTGGAAAGAAGGTCAGTGGAAACTGTGGTGTCTTTAGGATAAATGGTTTTATTTACACATATATACAACCTGATAATAGGATGGAAGTGCCCTCTGCATTGACACTCCAACAGATCTTGCCAATCCATTAGGTTCCCCAAACCAAACCAAATATTTGGGTCCATCATAGTGCAAGAGAAACCTCTGTGTCTGTAGCTTCTAGCATCAGCCAGATATCCCATAACAGACACTTACTATTGTTCTTCTAACTTGCAAGGTGATGTTGCTTCCAACTAAGTGAGGGTAGGGGGATGGCTACTCCCATTTGTCTCTATGGCAACAGGGAAACCTCTTTGGACATAAAAATGCCAGTACTTGACTAGCCTTCTGTGGCCATTATCTTACAAAGAAACTGGTCTGACTGGTTCAGAGGCCTCTTCTATTAGATTTGAAATCTCCATGATACAGAATCGCAGAAGGGACCCACAGACTGACACCACCAGTCCAAAAAAACATCAACCCTATAACAATATATTTATACTTATAGCTGGAATTTGTTGGCTCTGAAAATAGGCTGTTTAGGTAGAGAGGCTGGATACCAAGTTCATGAGAAACCTAGGAATGAAGTATATCCTGAAGTGTGAAGTAGCAGCAGGTGAACACCCACTTGAGAGTTTGATAGTGTCTCTGAAGTATCTTGGCTGTTTCCTGTAGCAGTTTCCAGAGAGAAAAAGCACACATACAGTGGGTTTCTGTCATGCTAAGTGCCGCACTCTTAAAGTTTACTTTAAAACTGCTAAGTGCCTCTTGTTCATTTTTGTAATTGTTAAAACCCTCCTTCTGGAGCAGTTGGCGGCTCTCATAAGCTCCCGGCTTATTGCACTGGGTGTTAGTCTATCTGAACTATATCTATGCACATATCATATTGGCCTGAATATAAGCCTCACTTTTTAAAAACAAATTCTGACCATGAAAAGTTAAAGTGCGGCTTAAATTCGCAACCTTACAAAAATTGGCTTTTATGATATCGCTGCTGAAATAGATATATGGTAAAACAGAACGGGTGTGAGTGCCTGTGGAATTTTAAGGGAGTGGCTTATATTCAGGTATTCCCCCCCCCTCCCCTTGAATTTTAAAGGTGTGGCTTATATTTGGGCCAATATGGTACATGTGAAAGGAAGGAAAGTGCACAGCTCATTGACAAAATGGCTACTGTTTATCTGCCCTGATAGCTGAATTATGAAGTGTATGGTTATGCTATAACGCCCCAGATTCCTTTTTTACCTTTGGCTCAGCACCTGCCTGCTCACCCTGCATACAATGTGTTGTGACGTGGGGTTTGTGATTTCAGCTCTCTTGACATAATATGCTGGAGTCAGTTCTCTAGTAACACTTCTTTATTAAAGCAAACAAGACTAAGACTTGAGGAGGGAAGAGCTACATTTATAGGGACAGGGAACTAGATAGAAAGGATACATTTTGGAGGGAACAATATCAGGCAATCACAGTCCTGCCTTTTGGAGGAAACCAATAAGACAGAGGATCCAAATACAGCAGCTTAAATGAACCAATAGTAGCTGTACCCTCTGGAACCAAAAGACAGTTACTTTACTCTAATGCAAATACAGACAATAATAATAATACAGATATAAAATCCTTTGACTCAATACACAACACCCCTCCCCCCCTAGTGAGCACAGCAGACGTAATCTCTCAGGTACTGTGGGGTCCTACAACTTCTACTTGATCTCCTGACAACAGGTGTTGCCGGTTCTGGATTGGGTGTTACCTGTGGTAGGGGGCTGCTATAGGGGTTTCGTCAGGAACAGATGGAGTCCCAGACATCTCAGGGTCCCCTACCTGTACCTCGTCATCCTGAGGACTAGCAGACCCTGGTTCATTTGCTGAAGCCCCTGGTGACTGCACCTCTGGGCCATTTTCACTCTGGTCTTGCAGCTCTGCGTCGTTAGCCAGGGATGAATTATCTGACTCCTCCCTGCTGAGCGCCCGGCGCCTCAGCTGATCTATATGTCTCTTCCAAACTTGCCCATTTTCCAAGGTCACATAATAGGACACAGGTCCACTAGTCCGGGTGACCACACCAGCCACCCACCGCGAACCTCGTGAATAGTTCCTCACCCAGACCAGATCTTCAGGGGCGAGATACCTTGTTGTGTCAGTCTCAGCCTGGGGGGTTGCTCTTGAATTACGGTTTGGCATTTTATCCGGGTGGACATAATCCAGCACCGTTACCAGTCTTCTACCCAAGAGCAACTCAGCTGGCGACTTGCCTGTTGCAGTACACGGCGTCACATGCTGCAAAAATAACATTCGCGTGATGCGAGCTGACCAGTTACCCTCCATTAAGCGCACAATGGATTCTTTGGCTGTTCTTACCATGCGCTCAGCCTGCCCATTGGCGGATGGGTGAAAGGGCGCGGATGTGACCCCTCTTATGAAGTTATCAGCCAAGAATGCCCTGAATTCTTGGGATACAAAAGCTGCCCCATTATCTGATACAATGGTCTCAGGTAACCCGTGGGTTGCAAACAGCTGCCTCAACACCTTGATTACGGCAGCTGATGTCATGCTAGGGACCATCGCCACTTCTAACCATTTGGAATATGCATCGACGATAACCAAAAAGACCTTCCCCTGGAATGGCCCAGCAAAATCTAAGTGCAGCCGGCTCCAGGGAGATCTGGACTGCTCCCACCAGTGAACTGGTGCTCTGGCCACTTCTGGCCGCACCTCTTGGCATGCCTTGCATGTTCGTACCCATTGTTCTATGTTCTGGTCCATTCCAGGCCACCACACATAACATCGGGCTAGCGACTTCATCCTGACCATTCCCGGGTGTCCCATGTGAAGCGTCTCAAGAACCCTGTTTCTCAGTGGTGCTGGGATGATCACCCTATCTCCCCACAGGAGACAACCCTTATGCATGGACAACTCGTGCTGCCTTGTCGCATAAGGCCTGAATTTGTCTTCATGCAGACCACCTGGCCACCCCCTCCCCACCCAAGTGAGCACACGGGAGAGAACAGCATCTTTCCTCGTTTTCTCAGCTATATCAGTAGCCGTTACAGGAGCCCCCGGAAGTGTTTCCAGCATCATTATGTGCTCCGCTGGAGCAGGATCCTCATTGCTCCCGCCAGGAAGGGGCAATCGACTCAGCGCATCAGCGTGGCACAACCGTTTCCCCGGCACATGGGTCAAGGTGTACTGGAACCCGTTCAGGAATATAGACCAACGCAACATTCTGGGGGAGAGAATTTGTGGCGTTTGTTTGTTCGGGTTGAACAACCCTAACAGTGGTTTGTGGTCCGTTTCAATGGAGAAATGGCAACCGTACACATAATCATGGAACTTCTTGGTTCCTGCCACAATTTCAAGCGCCTCTTTGTCAATTTGAGCATAGTTGCGCTCCGTGGGCGACAACGTACGGGAATAGAAAGAGATGGGCTTTTCCGACCCATCCGGTTCCCTATGACTCAGCACTGCCCCCAGGCCGTATTGAGAGGCATCACATGCCAGGACCAGCGGCTTCGACTCATCATAATGAGCAAGGACGCTCCTACTACTCAGCATTCCTCGCAAGGAGTCAAAAGCCTTCTGCTGCCCCTGCCCCCATCGCCACACATTCTTTTTCTGCAACAGTCTATGTAATGGTTCAGCTACCGAAGCTTTCTGGGGTAAGAACGAATGATAAAAGTTAATAAGTCCCAGGAATGACTGCAGCTCCGTCTTGTTCTGTGGTCGTGGTGCCTCGCTGATGGCCTTAATCTTAGCATCTGTGGGGTGGATGCCTGATGCATCAATTTTAAACCCCAAGAAATCCACAGTTGGCACCCCAAAACTGCATTTTTCCTTTTTCAGTTGCAACCCCACCTCCTTGAACTTGAGCAACACTGCACGGACACGCGCAACCAGTTCCTGTGGGTCTTTTCCAGCAATCAAAACGTCGTCAAAAAATGGCAAGACCCCCGGCAGACCTCTTAACAGGCGTTCCATGAGCCCTTGAAAAATCCCTGGGGCCACACAAACTCCAAATTGTAATCTGTTAACTCTGAACGCCCCTTTATGTGTGACAATAGTCTGTGCTTCCGCTGATTGTGGGGTTACTGGCAGCTGTTGGTAAGCTTGTGCCAGGTCAATTTGGCGAACACCTTGCCCCCAGCCAGTTTAGCCAACAGATGTGATATGACTGGAATGGGGTATGAGTTTCCCCTGAGTGCCTTATTGATAGTACATTTGTAATCTGCACAGATCCTGACTTCCCCATTTGCTTTAAGGGGCGTGACGATTGGAGTCTCCCACTTAGCAGAGTCCACGGGTGAGAGAACTCCCTGCTTGACCAATTTATCCAGCTCTGCTTCGATCTTGGGTTGCAGTGCAAATGGCACTCGCCTTGGTTTGAGTCGGATTGGGGCCACCCCAGGGTCCAATTCGAAGTCAACTGGGGGCCCTTTATAACAACCCAGTTTTCCATTAAAGAGACCAGCAAATTCTTTGCATAATGCCTCGCTCATCTCAGGGCAGGTTTGGATTGAATTAAGCCCTGATCTACTCAGTCCCAGGGCGGGGAACCAGTCAGTGCCCAGGAGACTGGGGCGACTGCCCTTCGCAATCACCAGTTTGAGTACCGCCTGTTTGTCCCGGAACTGTACTCTCACGGCACACATTCCCATGACATGGATGCGGCCCACTGAGTATGACTGCAAAGTTGCCGGGAAGGGCTCCAGAGGGGGCAACTTACCCCTGGGGAAGAATGTCCTCGCGGTCTGGTCCGACACGATAGTGAATCCAGATCCGGAGTCCACCTCCATGTCGCACAGCTGACCCTCAATCTTCACCTTGATGTGTGCCTTGCCTTGCGCTGGAAACTGCACGACCCTCCCGTTGATCTCCGTTACGTAGTGGCAGTCCGTTAGGACCTGGTTTGCTGTGGGCGGTCTGCGATGCTCCAGTCTAGGTGCTCCTGTCGCTCCCAACGCCGCCGATCTACAGACCCTGGCGATGTGACCTGTCTTCCCGCACGTCCGGCACATAGCATCCCGGAAACGACAACTCTTCCGCTCATGGTTTCCGCCACAACCAGGGCACCTGCCTCGGTGATCTTTGTGCACTGTGCAGGCCTGACGCACTGACTCGACCCCACGGACTGGGCTCTGGCTCGGAGTAGCCTCTAGCTCGTCCATGGCATGCACAACTTCTATCTGTGGCTTAGGGGCCTTGCGACTGGCATCAAGCTCCTCTCTTTCATAATTCTCCGTGGCGGTGGCCTCCTTCAAGGCTGAAGCAAGGGTAACCTCTTCTTTAGCCACGATGCGTCTTCTGGCTTTCTTGCTGCTCAGACCACCGATAAACCGATCCAGGAGAGTCTCTTCCAGATCTTGGAAGTCGCAGTGCTGAGCAAGCTTCCGCAGTTCAGCTAGAAATGCAGATACAGACTCCCCAGCACGCTGCTGCCTCTTATGAAACTCCATCCGCTGGGCCATCTTGGTCTCAGTAGGCGCCAAATGGCTTGTTAGGCAGGCAAGAATATCTTTGAGAGGTGTCTCACTTAGCTTCACTGGAGCAAGCAATGCCTTGGCCAGCTTGAAGATCTCAGGCCCACAGTAGCTCAGGAATGTGGCCCTTCTTTTGCTGGCATCGGTGATCCCTTGAGCCACTGCGAAGAACTCGAAGCGTTCGACGTAGTCTTCCCACGTGTGGGGCTCTGATGGCTGGAAGGGCTCCAATACCCTTGGACTCTCCATTGTCCTGTGGGCAGGGTCGTCTTCTCAGCTGGCCAGTGAGTCTTGTTCTTAGCTACAATCCGGACTCTGAGGCAGGGCTACGTTTAACCGCTCCTCAGCATTCCGGATCCCACCTTCGTCGCCAGTTGTTGTGACGTGGGGTTTGTGATTTCAGCTCTCTTGATATAATATGCTGGAGTCAGTTCTCTAGTAACACTTCTTTATTAAAGCAAACAAGACTAAGACTTGAGGAGGGAAGAGCTACATTTATAGGGACAGGGAACTAGCTAGAAAGGATACATTTTGGAGGGAACAATATCAGGCAATCACAGTCCTGCCTTTTGGAGGAAACCAATAAGACAGAGGATCCAAATACAGCAGCTTAAATGAACCAATAGTAGCTGTACCCTCTGGAACCAAAAGACAGTTACTTTACCCTAATGCAAATACAGACAATAATAATAATACAGATATAAAATCCTTTGACTCAATACACAACACAATGGGAGTTAAACTTGTGGACATCACAGTGGCAAAGTTTGGCAGGTGCAGTTCAAGAGGAACAAAACTGAAGACAACGACCATTTGGTGAGCACCCTGAGGGCATCTGTTAAGGCTTCCTCTGACCTGCCCCTTCAGGTCTATGGGACTAGAAAGGATAGGGACAGGGTCTTCCCTTGGAGCCTGCCCCCCTCATTTACACCCAAGGCCCAAGGCCCAGGGGTGGGGTGGTACTGCCAGCCGCTCCTTAGCAGGGCCAACTCTCCATTTTGGGCAGAAGCAAGCGGGGGGAGGAACAGCAGCCACCCCCACCCAATCCTGAGCCCCCCAGCCATTCCCCTCAGTTGGAGATCGGAGCTATGGGTGCCACAGGCTTGTCATAAACGCCCTAGCCTGGCCTCCTGCCCCAAGTACACAGGAGGCCAGTATTAAGGTAGGATTGAACTGCTGCTCCAGTCAGTTTCTGTATATAGAATGTAGGTGGGGGATCTTTGCCTCAGGCAGGAAAAAATGTCTTGGGCCAGACCTGTTCTTCCGTACCTCAGTGTGAAAGTCCTGGGAGGCCATGATAAGAAAATGACTAGCCTTTGGCTCTGAGCCAAAGGAAGCTCACCCTGAAAGAACTGAGAGAGAAGGATGAAAAGTCAACCTGATCGTGCACCTGCACCGGAGGTAGGAATTCAGTTACATCAGGCATAGGCAAACTCGGCCCTCCAGATGCTTTGGGACTACAACTCCCATGATCCCTAGCTAACAGGACCAGTGGTCAGGGATGATGGGAGTTGTAGTCCCAAAACATCTGGAGGGCCGAGTTTGCCTATGCCTGAGTTACATTAATCATAATAACTGTTGCAGGTCCCTTTAATGTTTGCTAACGTCATTTCTCATTCAGACACCAAGACGTGAGTCTTGTCTCTTCAGTCCTTGAATGTGGGAATATCTGTGACCGGGAGCGTACATTTACCCAGCCTCATCCAGCAAACAAGTGCACTGATTCCTCTCATGAAAGAGAAGTTGGGATTAGATCCTACTTTCATTACCCGTAACCTTTTCCCTGCCAGGCTCCTACAACACCCTAATCTCCCCCTTGATGCCCACCATTTCCTACAGAGTGTGTCCTTGCTCAGAGCCTGAAAAAATATCTTGGGAATGTTCCCTCCTTTATACCGTGTTGTCTAATCATTCAGCTGCAGTTCTCTGCAGCACTAGGAATGAATCAATTTAATCCCTTAACCTTGATGTTTGTATCTCAGAAGTTTCTCTGTAATGGTTGGACCGTTCATTTTCATGGCAGAATGTTTGCAGAGAGGTTTCTGGCTTTATCTTCCTATTAAGAAAAATTAAAATCAATACTGGCAATTAAGCCAAAACCCACAAAACAGTAAGCACCCCCCCACCTCCTTAAAGCAGTGGCACTTTGTGATTTAAGAGACGTCCCTCAATTCTCTTCCCTCCTCTTCCAGCTCCAGGTTGCAACTGAACATGGTATCTTCTTCATTTCCTTTCTGCTAATGAGTAGATAGGGAAAGTGCACTCTTGCCACTCATATAACTCGGAGACAGTGAACATGAGGCTGACCCTTTCCTTTCTGCACTCAAAATCTAACCGGGAACTCTTCCGTATATTATTTTGTAGCTGTCTGTATGTTTAAGGATAGCAAGGTTTGACAAATTACTTGTTTCCACCAGTCACTTTATCAGCAAAAAAAAAAGGTCATTGTTTGACAAAATGCCAGTTCATTTTTCGGAATACCCAGGCATAGGAAATGAGCCAGAGTTATTTCTGCAGAATTTTAAAGCAGCAGCAAATATAGAAGAGATGTTTATATTGGGGATCAGGGTGAACCTTGTCATCTGAGATTATGTTTAAGACATTTTCATCATCTTTTCAACACAAAAATAATGGCGTTAACAAATCTCTCTGTACAGACAAGGCTTTTCCTGAGGAAACAATAGAAATATGAGAATTGCTTTTATGGGGTAGAATGTGGATAATATTACACACATGCCACCTTTTGAAATACAGCCTGCTGAATTTTTCCCTCTATGTACACTGAACACAACAAGCCAAATCAGCTTCTTAATGGCAGAAAACCCTTCAATAAATTTGATTGTGCTTTTTTCCCTCCCTATTGTTGTATTGTTGTTTTGTCTCTCTCTGGAATGTGATGGTGACGTACTCTCTTGCACTCACATACGAGCAGGTATGAGGGTATGGATAAGAGAAGCATTATCTCGAGGTTGAGGACACAAAAATAAATTGGGAAAAAGCACATCAATTTTTTAATTGAAGGGTTTTCTGCCATTAAGAGCTGATTTGGCTTGTTGTGTTCAGTGTACATAGAGGGAAAATTTCAGCAGGCTGTATTTCAAAAGGTGGCATGTGTGTAATATTATCCACATTCTACCCCATAAAAGCAATTCTCATATTTCTATTGTTTCCTCAGGAAAAGCCTTGTCTGTACAGAGAGATTTGTTAACGCCATTATTTTTGTGTTGAAAAGATGATGAAAATGTCTTAAACATAATCTCAGATGACAAGGTTCACCCTGATCCCCAATATAAACATCTCTTCTATATTTGCTGCTGCTTTAAATTCTGCAGAAAAACTCTGGCTCATTTCTATGCCTGGGTATTCGGAAATGACTGGCATTTTGTCGAAACAATGTACCTTTTTTTTTTGCTGATAAAGTGACTGTGGAAACAGTAATTTGTCAAACTTGCTATCCTTAAACATAGACAGCTACAAAATAATATACGGAAGAGTTCCGGTTAGTTTTGAGTGCAGAAAGGAAAGGGTCAGCCTCATGTTCACTGTCTCCGAGTTATATGAGTGGCAAGAGTGCACTTTCCCTATCTACTCATTAGCAGAAAGGAAATGAAGAAGATACCATGTTCAGTTGCAACCTGGAGCTGGAAGAGGAGGGAAGAGAATTGAGGGACGTCTCTTAAATCACAAAGTGCCACTGCTTTAAGGAGGTGGGGGGGTGCTTACTGTTTTGTGGGTTTTGGCTTAATTGCCAGTATTGATTTTATTTTCTTAATAGGAAGATAAAGCCAGAAACCTCTCTGCAAACATTCTGCCATGAAAATGAACGGTCCAACCATTACAGAGAAACTTCTGAGATACAAACATCAAGGTTAAGGGATTAAATTGATTCATTCTAGTGCTGCAGAGAACTGCAGCTGAATGATTAGACAACACGGTATAAAGGAGGGAACATTCCCAAGATATTTTTTCAGGCTCTGAGCAAGGACACACTCTGTAGGAAATGGTGGGCATCAAGGGGGATTAGGGTGTTGTAGGAGCCTGGCAGGGAAAAGGTTAGGGGTAATGAAAGTAGGATCTAATCCCAACTTCTCTTTCATGAGAGGAATCAGTGCACTTGTTTGCTGATGAGGCTGGGTAAATGTACGCTCCCGGTCACAGATATTCCCACATCAAGGACTGAAGAGACAAGACTCACGTCTTGGTGTCTGAATGAGAAATGACGTTAGCAAACATTAAAGGGACCTGCAACAGTTATTTGATTAATGTAACTCAGGCATAGGCAAACTCGGCCTCCAGATGTTTTGGGACTACAACTCCCATCATCCCTGACCACTGG